ATCCCGTATTTCGTACTTCGTACTTCAGAAGTACGGAGAAGTACAAAAAAGTACGAAGAAGTACGAAGAAGTATCAAGAAGTACGGAGAAGTACCAGAAGTACAGAAGTATGCTTTTTCCCCCTTGAGATTCTCACAGATTTAAATCGATTCATCGTGACTAAGTTCTTACTTCCGGTTTCTGGCTCCATCGAAGTTATTCATGATTTCATGGTGCTCCTGATCAGTGCATAACGCTCATATACAGAAAAGAATTTTCGGTACATTATCGATTGAAACGTCCCATATTAGAGATGTACACGGGTACTGTTTTCGTACCCGGCTCATGGGTAAAAATTTTCTCGTTTTCGTTTTCTAGGTAAAAGCTTTTGTTTTCCAGCTGGAGATGTCGAAGTATCATTACCTTCTCAAATAACTTTTTTTAAAACTGCATATATTTTGGCTAAAATCTTGTCGTTTTTCACTAAAAGTTTGTGATTTTCCACTAAAGGCTTCCGGTTTTGGGATAAATTAAAAAAAACGGAACCCGTACCTCACCTTCGGGTCAGATCGGGCACCAGTTGCACATCTCTATTCCATATACAGGTCAGGTGTTGTCTTAAAGAATGCTTGGAGCAGATTGGAGTCTCAATTGCATCAAATATAATCTAAGATCTTATGCTTATTTTGGCAATAAATCAAATATCTCAAAATTTGTTAAAGTTATTATTTCATTCGACTACCACGTCATAGTGGACGACAACATTCTCAATGGTAGAATAATAGTACCAGAGATTTGATACAGGAATTTAAAATTATATAATAAAAAATATCAACAGTTCACAATAGATAGAGAAAGACAAATTATGAAATTTAGAATGTGAAGAAACTCGAATAGTTACTCGAATAGTAAAAAGTTGAAATGAACAAATAACACTCAGCACTTCGTTAATGATAGTATTTCGTGAAGATAAGAGTTAATGACTGTCTGAAAGAATAAATTATATCAAAGTGTATAGTACATTGTCCTGTCCTATTAATCGTTTGCAAAAAGCATATAATAAATTTATGGTACTAAATTAGAACTTTTTTTTCAATGTCTACTGTTTTTACTGACCAAAAATTTCTACAACCGCGAAGAAGTGGTTAGACTTATCTGATTATCTTATATGAGATTTATTGATGAAAGAAAATGAGGCGAGTGATGGTGATCAATCAGTTTTGTACAAAAACAAAATTTTTAGTGAATACATTTCAGCTTTCTATTTTTCTCATTTTATTGAATTTGTTTGTAAAACTGTATTTTCATCAGTCCATTCGCGTTGATTATTTATTTCGCTGTTCTTAAAGAAATGAATATAAATAAGAAAAACATTAATTTAATAATTTTTGAAGCGAAATACAGCGCGAAAATTGAACTATCGTCTTGTATATTTTACTCGTAAAATTCATGGCTATATTTTTACGTTTTCATGAACTTTAATTAATTTTATTTTATAATAATTTTTTCGTTTGAGTGTATAGAATAGCTGTGGGTTTTGTAGAATCTCTTATTGAATAATAGGCTTATTGTAAGATAGAGTACATATGATAGGAAATTATTAGAGTTGGAAAGGTGCAAATTTTTTCTTATCGAAATCAAAATTGTCAGCATGAAAATATGATAAAATTCAATTGATGTATGGCTGAATGTTAATCAAAGAATTTTATTTATTATTGAATGTCTGACTTGGATTTATTGTATAAAGGCGATATTATTAAGAATAGATGGAAAATACTGCGAAAAATTGGAGGTGGTGGTTTTGGATTGATCTATGAAGCATACGATAAAATACGACAAGATTCTGTTGCTATTAAAGTGGAATCTAATTCACAACCAAGACAAGGAATACGAATGGAAGTGACAGTGTTGAGAAGAATTCAGGATCATAATCATGTTTGTGAATTAATATCCGGTGGTACATCGACAAATTACAACTATATGGTGATAACATTGTTAGGATCAAGTTTATCTGAACTGAGACGATTTTTACCGGAACAATGTTTTTCAACAAGTACAACTCTAAGAATTGGAATACAAATATTAGAAGCTATTGAAAATATTCATTCGATTGGATTTTTACATCGTGATATAAAACCATCAAATTTTGCCGTTGGTCGAACAAGTTTAAACTGTCGAAATGTGTTTATTCTCGATTTTGGATTAGCAAGAAAATATACAGATTATGATCACCACGTACGACCAGCACGACAAATAGCAGGATTTCGTGGGTGAGTAAAGAAATAATATTACTTGATCTTTACTATCTTATGGTTGTCTTTTTTGAAATATTTTAAAACTGTAACATAAAAAGTTTATTCTAAATTTCAATAAACTAGACAATTTTTCTGTTCTGTGATGCGATTTCCTTCTAAAAGTGAATACATAGTCTTGTTCTATCTTTCTGATACTGCGTCATGGATCTCCCTCCGTCTAATAAACATACTTCTACTGTATCATCTGCTCTATCTCTACTCATTAAAGGGTATGCAGGTTTCGGTCAGTGCAACGATGACCACGTCGCAAATTCAAATCTATAAACGACGCGATCAAGCAGTAGAACACATTATAGCGGTGCATAGAAGAACTAAATTGTACAAGGATGAAATTAATGTCTTAAAAAACCAAAGTTCTAGTGTTCCATTCTGCCGACTGTCTAGTGTGGTTGTTGTGCTTCCACTCCTTCTACTCCAGCGGAGGCTCTCTTTCTCTTTCCAAAACTAGTCATATACAAAGTTCACAGTCTTGTCCTTCTGCCAAAGAATGAAACATAAAGAAACGTTTTTTATGCTTGTAGTACGATAAGATATGCATCAATAAACGCTCACAATAGTCGAGAATTAGGACGACACGATGATTTGTGGTCATTTTTTTACATGTTAGTAGAATTTATTGTCGGCTCACTGCCATGGTCCAAGATTAAAGATAAAGATAGTGTTGGACGAATGAAAGAGACGTGCAATTACACTCGTTTTTTAACCTATTTACCGAAAGAATTTGAAAAATTCTTAGACCATATTAATAAGCTGAGATATGAAGATGAACCGGATTATAAATTTTTACGAACAATATTTTTATCGGCTATATCTCGTCTCGGTTATAGAGAATTGGATGCATTTGATTGGGAAAGACATGATGTGTTATCAACCACAACAAGAAATCGTACATCGTACTCATATGATAAAAAATCCGATAAGGATGGTGTTATCGTTGCTGGAAATAGTATCAACAAAGGAAATTTATCCAAAATGAAAGCTCAAAATTCGGTAGAAATATCACAAGAGAAAGTTTCTCCTGCCATACAGAAAACACAAGGGCAACAACAACAAGAAACAGTTTATATGAACGATAAAAGATTTACCAACGTAAAATCACAGTCCAAACATTTGGAGAAGAATATCAGTGTTCTTGTTGATAATGGAGCAATTAACAATCCACGACGAGCGATTAACAACAGAATTAGTCATCTAAGAAAATCTCATGAAGGACACCTAATAGTGGCTAATAATCCTAACAAAGAGGTGGAAGCCTTCACAATACAATCGTGTAGTACGCAATATCCGCTAAAAGTGCAAATAAAAACACATAACCTAAGCGCTGAACAGGGAACAGGTAGTGGAGATAGACTATGTGAAACAGTCACATCGAGATGGTCACAACAATCTAGAAACAATTATAATGTAGGTGCAGCTCCTGATGAAAATATTGGTAATACAGAAATGAGAAGATCGATTGGCAATAAATCCTGCAGTAGTAGTCAACACTGCTCCGTTGCTCAAGCAAGTTTATCACCGGATTTAGTGATAAAACGTAGTTCAAATATTTTATCAGACGACAAAGGTTTAACTTTTGCTGCCGCACCCGGTACGTATGGGTATACGTGTATATTTAACTAAATTAAACGATTCATTTTCATGTTTTTAAAGGAACTCCAACTTTGTTCTCTCAGTGGTCTCCACTCAATGGAGAAACAACAGAAGATGATGCAATAAAAGGAAATAATAGTAATAGTAATAAAGATGAACGAGCATCATTAAGTGCATCTATAACTGGTGGTCTCTATCCTCTTGAATCTAATCGTTGTAACAATTTTGCAGGCCGATTGTCAGGAGTAAAGTCGAGAAAAATATTTATATCAGATGATGAGCACAGTTTAACAGAAGAAAAAGAAGGTATTCCATTCGATGTCTACGTTCCTACCACCAAAAGAAATAGAAATTTTAATTATTATATCAATCGTCAAGTATCACAACAACAAAAACAACGTTTTCAGAACAATAATCGTTGTTTAAATATGTGTGTTTTATGCAAAAGTTATAATCAAAGCTTTTCTTGTTTGGACAAATTGACCTGAGAATAAATAGATTTTTCACGCAGGTGTTTCTCTGTAAACTATTTGTCTTAATGTGACACTTTGTGAATTTCATTCGCTATACTAGCATAAGACTGTTCTCAAAATACATGCAAATTTTGATTGTTTACCCAAGTTTAGCAGTACAATCTCCATTCTAGCTATAATACTACTTTATCCTGTAAAGGCTACTTTTGTACTATTACAATACAGAGACACTCAGACTTTCAATAGCACATTAGAAGCCGTTTCGAATAAGTTATAGTACAGAAAAAATAAAATGATTTCATTTGTGTGATCATTGGATGGTTGAATCAACAGCCCAATGAAACTTCATTTCAGTGTCTCCAATGAATATATTCCATAATACAAGATGCATAGCGTTCTAGGATTGAGAATAAACTGTTCATTGGTTTGATGAGGTTGCGCCACTACTTTTCTTTTCTTTCTTTCAATAGAAGTTTTAATATTTGTTGATTACAAAAAATTCTAAAATAACAATTAAAATGTTATCTTGAGTAGATAGATAAATTAAACTTTGAAAGGAAAAAAAAACTAAAGAAAGTCATGTGATCACCATCTTGTAACTGTTATGTTTTTAGTTCAGAGGTCAAATCTTTCTGTTATGCTCTTTCGTTAGACTTTGTCTATATACAATAAGGATTTTTTTTTTTGTCAGTTTCAATGTAAATTTTTCTTTTAGATTTCATCTAATTTATTAAAAAGACATTTCAATGTCGGATGATGATATATTGACTACGTTAAAGATTCTGATTATCGGAGAAAGTGGTGTGGGAAAATCAAGTCTTTTATTACGATTTACAGATGATAGATTCGATCCTGAACAACCAGCGAGTAAGTTGCCAGAAAAGTGACTGATTTATGAATCACGTTTATTATGTAGCTCACCAATATTTAATTATTTTAGCTATCGGTGTCGACTTCAAAGTTAAACCATTAGATATTGAAGGAAATAGAGTCAAACTTGCTATATGGGTAAGTAAACTACTATTGGTTGTATCAGATTGTAAGAAGATATTTTCTTTCAAAGGATACAGCAGGCCAAGAACGTTTTCGAACATTAACACCAAGTTATTATCGGTAAGGATTTGTTTTTCTTTTATTAGTTAGTTACGTTACAGTCATTAAAGGTCACTGATCGATCTATAATAATAGTGACTCAAGTCAAACAACTAAGAAAGAGTAGCAGTAAAAAGACTAAAACAACAACAAATGAAATAAACAATAAAACAAATATAAGAGTAAAAAAGAAAACTAACATGAACGTGAAATAACCAGAAATATGACACTTATATATTTGCACGTGTATATCTTTTCTAATGTGCCACTTCTGTCGTCTTGTGGGTGTATACTCCGTTTTCTTCATTAGTACATCAAACTGTCGTTATGAAATATTTTATCTGAACAAATAATATGCTTCAAAGAATTCAAGTCATAATTTTATAATCTTATCATAGTATTAACGGTTTCTTTTGTCTATTTTTAGAGGTGCACAAGGAGCTATACTCGTTTATGATGTTTGCAATAGAGACTCATTTCGTCACCTCGATAGATGGATCAGTGAATTAGATACATTTGCAACAAAATCAAACATTATTAAAATGTTGGTTGGAAATAAAATTGATCAAGTAAAAGACATATGACTAATTCATATTTATAAATAAAAACCGTTTTTAATTTCTATTCTATTCTAGGAAAGTAATCGATTAGTGGCACGTGATGAAGGTGTCAAATTTGCGAGAAAACATTCAATGCTTTTTATTGAAGCATCAGCTCGAACTCGTGAAGGTGTACAAATAGCGTTTGAAGAACTTGTTCAAAAAGTAAGAAATACTTAAAAGTAAACTATTTATCCTTAACTGGAATCTTAAACAGTTTTAATAGTAAATGTTCAATATCTACATGTTAAATATAAATATTGTTGATACATTTTCTTTTTTAGATCATTCAAACACCTGGTTTATGGCAAAATGATCAACGTTCACAACAAGGCTTTCATGCCGGAGACGTTGATAAATCGAATGAATCAGGTGGCTGTACATACTGTTAGAAAAAAGAATTTGGTCATTTAAAGAGTCTTTAACACTTAGTCATTCCAATGGCTCTTCTTCTTCTTGTTTATATTCATATCCACTTAATTAAAAACTTTCGTTTTTTGTTTTTGTAATTTATTACGGTTGTTTTCCGACAGTTTTATTTTTTAAACATATATCAGTACCTTTCGTCTGCATTCGTTCATACATACCATGGTTCTATTTTTATTGCATTTTGTAAATAATTATATATATACATATATATATATATATATAAGAAGGTCGCTGTTTGCTTGTGGTTTTTTGTTTTCAAGATTTTTGATATTGCTAAAATTTCTTGGGGTGTTCTTTAATGTTTGTTCATATTTTCATTTTTTTTTTATTTTTTGTTTCATTTCTTTTTTCTCTCGCGTAACAAGCAAAAGAAAAATGAGTCTCCATTTTTTCTTCTTCTGATAAATCGAAAAGTACATCGAATATTATTCTTTTGAATAATACACTTGCATACATGATAGTTACGTACAAAAATTTAGTTATCAATTATATTCCCTCTAATTTAAGCCATTGTCAACTATTATAGCTAAACTGATATGGGAAATGTTTTTTGTTTTTTGCTCTTTTTTCGCACCTGATGATACATAAAAGAAAAGCATGTAACTTTTTTCTTGAAAATTAGAGTATTTAACAATCGTTTTCAAATAACATCCTAAACAGTAGATAGACGAACATTCTAGTAGTTCAAATTTTGAAAATTCTTTTACCCAGTAGGGACATTGATTCTTTCGAAATGGTAACTGAAATCTACGTTAAATAACTGGAACTCAATTAAGGTCAGGTTTCATTCAGTCCCCTAGCATTGCGAAAGCCCGGTAAAAAATAAGGCTTTCGTAACACGGTAAACATTTAAAAAAAACAGGGCTTTCGTAAAGATAATGCAAAGGGATTAATGTCTAAGTAGATCGATGACAGGGCTTCCGTAACACTCTTTAACGGGGCTTTCGTAACGAAGTCTGTGTGTACTTTTTACGGTAAGACAGCTGAAGATTAATGTCCTCTAACAGGACTTTCGTAACAGTCGTTTACAGGGCTTTTGTAACGAAGTGTATATTTACTTTTCAAATTGAAATGATGCCTGATTGTATTCATTCACCCTCACTGTTTCTATCTGTTTTCTCTTTCACTTACAATAAAAAGTAGCATTCGTTATGAAAGCCGTGTAAAAGAGTCTTACGAAAGCCCTGTCAGAGCATCTACTAGAGATTAGTCCCTTGCATTATCGTTACGAAAGGTCTGTTAGTAATCTTAGTGACTGACTATCTCATAGAGAGGATACGATCCGATTAATAATGTTACGAAAGTCCTATTATTTTCTTAGTACGAAAGCACTGTAAAAAAAGAGGGATTTGGATGAAACGCCACCTCAATTAAAACTAGTACTGATCTATAACTATCACCATTTTGAACTAGAATGTTAGAAAACTGATGAATGAACATTATTTACATGTATTTTCATTATAGGATCTACATCGAATCTCTCTCGAGTTGTTAATTTGACTTAAGATTTCTTTCGAAATGTTGCCTATTATTAAAAAGAAACTACTAGCTCTGGATACATAGATTTACTGATACATAAGAGATTATTGTACAAAATTGTAATTGATAACAAAATATCAGTCTAATTAAAATATTTACATTTGATGTGAAAACAAATGATAATAAAATAGTTTTATCGGGAAATGTTCTTGAATATACAATTTTATAGAGCATAGAAAACTATCTTAGATTAGAGCTTAAATGAGCATTAACTCTCCATGAAATAAATTACAAAATTTGAAATACTCAAGAAAATCATGAGTTCATCTCTACCGTCAAAATATTCCTGTCTTAGTTAAATGATTTTCCTTTCTTTATATCTTGTGTGTTCTCAAATTGTTTAATTGTATGATACATTATTTTTTTCGATCACCTTTGTTCAATAGTTTTTCATTTTTAGATCTATTTCCGAGAGAACATCATGAACGAAAATAATGATCTCGTCTTAAACATTACAGCAGAACCGAACGAAGGAAAAACAAAAAGGTTTTTAGTAAGTATAAGATGTTTATGACATTTTTAATTTCTTTCACATGTCTTTTTTTTTTTTATCTTTTAGAAACGAAAGCAAAATGATGAAGATGAACAAACATCAGACAATGTCATCAAATCAGTTAATACTGTTGAAGATGATAAATATGATATTGAAAAAGAACTGTCATTATCAAAAAAACGTCCCAAAATCGATCTTTGTCAAGGACGTGAAAAATCTAATGAAATAAATAAATCAAAACTTCCATCTTTATTTTCAAATAATCCAACAATACCACATGTTGAAGTGTAAATAGATCTTTATTTTTGTTTAATCAATTTGTACGAAATAACTTTTATTTTTAGAAAAAAGATGAAATCGACAAAAGAAGAAATTTTTGGTGAAGAAGATATGAATAATTTCGGAGTTCATCCACATCTGGTATAGTTGATAAAACCATTTTCTTTTAACGATTTACTTTGGCGTAAAATTCATTTTTCCATTTTAAATAATAATCAAGTGTTTTTTAAATAAGTAATTTCTCCATAGTTTCTAAAATTTTCAATCGATCAATATAGTAAAAAAGATGAAGTGCGTGCTCTAATTCAAATTCAAAAGACATTCAGATTATAGAATTAATCAATACCATCTAAAAAGGGGAGATAAAAAAATATGAAAATATATTCTTAAATCAAAAATGTTATATAATATGTTTCTTAAAAAAAGATTTTGGAGAAATTATTCATTTAAAAAACAATTGGTTATTACTTGAAATATAAAATTAATTTTTCGCGAAAAAGTTAATATCGAAGTGTCGTATCGCACTTTTAACATAGATATATTTCAACGTTTTATACAGATGGCGGCTGTTAAACAAAAGTTTAGTATTGAACGATTAACAAATGTGCAAGAAAAATCAATACCGGCTATACTCACTGGACAAGATGTGATTATTAAATCTCAAACGGGCAGTGGTAAAACATTTTCTAATTTTTCAAAAAAATTTAACTTACAAAATGCATATGAATCTATTGGTTTTTTTAGGCAAAACACTTGCTTATGCTGTTCCACTTATTCATTGTATACAAATGAAAACTCCTCTTATTCGTCGAGAAACTGGTCCAGTCGCAATTATATTGGTACCGACAAAAGAGGTAAAAAATTCAATAAAACATATGATCAAATTTAAAAAAATACCTTCTATTCTCTCTTTTCTAGCTTGTACAACAGACATACGATGTTTTTAATAAACTTTTAACCGTAAGTATTATCATCTTGAGAAAGAAACAATTTCATATTTTGTTTTTCTCTCTGTTCTAGTCGTTTGTTCGTATTGTTTGTTCGCCGTTGATTGGTGGCTCAAATCGTAATCATGAAAAGAAACGGTAATTCAACGTTGAATAAAATACTTTATTATCAATTAATAATATTAAAAAAAAAATACTTTTAGTCTTCGTCGAGGTATTAATATTCTTATTTCAACGCCCGGTCGTCTATGTGATCATATTGAAAATACACAATCATTATCATTCAAAAATATTCGATTTTTGATCTTTGATGAAGCGGATAAGTACGTTATTTGTAAAAAAAAGAAAAGAACAGAGACATCAGATTTTATTTTATACATACTGTTTCTTTAGAATGCTTGCAATGGGATTTTCAACTGCCATAAACAAAATCATCTCAAAAATCAATGAACATATTGGTGACAATGTGAACGAAAATGTTCAACGTATTCTTCTTTCAGCAACACCAGCATCAGGTATGATCATTATTATTTTCTATGTATTTATTTTCTATCTATTCTTCTTTTTTTAATTTCTTTAGCTCTAGAGGAATTTGTACAACTTAATTTGAAAGAAACAGCTATTCGAATCGATATATCCGAACAATTTAATAATGAAAGTGAAATAACCGTACCAAAAACATTAAAACAATATTTTACTGTTGTTCCAAGCAAATTACGTTTAGTAACACTTGTCTCATTTCTTTTACGTATTTATAATCGTGTAAGAAATATATAATGATTCTTTTTTTATTCATTTGTCAGAAATGCCTCTTTGTTTTTTCTTTTAGAAAAGATCTAGTAAAACATTAGTATTTCTAGCTACAAATGATCTTGTACGTTTTCATTATGATGTTTTAAATATGATATTAAATGGTGAAAAGAATGTTGATGATGATGATGAAATTCAAATGGGAAAACTTATTAATGATGAAGTGAAAGTATTGCGTTTACAAGGAGATATGGCACATCAAGTATGTTGTTCATCGTTTCTTACTTACACACACACACATCTGTTGATTTTTTCGATGTTTAGGAGCGTATGAGTGTATTTAGTGAATTTGTTAAATTATCTCGAGGAATTCTGTTATGTACTGATGTAGCATCACGTGGTTTAGATATGTGTAAAGTAACATGGATTTTACAGTATCATCCAACAAATCCAATTGATTATATACATCGTGTTGGTAGAACAGCAAGACTTGGTTAGTATAATTGTTTAAACAAATATTATCTACCAATATCTTTAATTACTTTTTTATTTAACCACATTAAGGTTCAATTGGACGATCATTATTATTTTTATTACCAAATGAAACTGAATATATTACAACATTACAAGAAAAATATAAATTAAAGTAATAGTCAAGTTATTCTTCTTGATTTGATCAATTCAAAATTATTGTCTTACACTCTCTATTTTAGATTAAAAGGCATGTCATTAAATGAAATATTAAATACATTATTAGATAGTCGTGAAAAATTAATTCAACATTTTGAAACTCGAGTAAGTGATATATTTATTTTTTTCTCTAGGGTAACTAAATTTTGGTTACTGTTGGATAATTCTCACATGATAAATTGCGTCTCTATTCTTATTTTTATTTTTAAGTTTAATGTAAAAAAATTTTCTGTATCTATTCTTAATAATAAATACAAAATTCAATATTTGTTGAAACAATCTGTTTTTTGTTTTTTTTTGTTTTCTTTGATATTAAGTGTTGGATAAACGTAAGACACACTATACTTTACGTGAAAAATACCTGTAAGTTGATTGTTTATTGAAATTAAATAGTTTAGATATGTTGTGATAGATGTACTTAACTTTTAATCTGGAGAATGTGTATAATATGCATTATATTAGACTGAGCAGAAGTCAATGTTGACTAACATAATCTTAAGTGTTTATCTATGTCTTCAGTATTTTATTCACGCAGAAAAAAATATACGTTAGTTTAATCCCTTTGTTTCCCGTATGAAATTCAATGATTGATTTATTGTATTATAATAAAATAGTTTGCTCTGAAATAATTTCTTTTATCGTACGCATAACACTGGAGTTTTTTTCTTTTTCTTCATCCAAAAACAAAACAAAAAAAATTATTTCTCTCTTGCGTTTCAAACTTTTTCTCCTCAATAACCTAAAGAATGGCAACATTTCAGTTGGATAAACTAAACTCATATTGTGGTTTGTTTACAATCAGGGTTGCCAACTCAAAAGCTAACTAATCAGAAAAAATCAGAAAAAATCAGAAAAGTAAAGTGTCAAAAATCAGAAGACGTAGTTTTTTTCACAAAATACAGGAGAAACGATTACATCTTAATTTTTTTCAAAACTGATCCTCATTTGTCTCTTTTTTTTTCTTTGTGTCGTATGGTTAATAGAAGAAATTCAACTTCAACTGTATTTTGGAGAAGAAGACTTCTATTTTTTACAGTTCCTACATATAACTAATTAAAAAAGTTAAAAATCAGAAAGTGATCAGTAAAAATCTTCAAAATCAGAAAAATTCTGATAAATCAGAAGAGTTGGCCATAGAAGTCTGCGGGTCCCAGTCCCAGTCCCACGGGACTTTTTACGGGATTGGGACCTAGAGATCCGCGGAATGGTCCCGATCTCGTAGGACTTTTAATGGGACCGGGACCAGGTTTTTTGAAAACAGTCTTGTATAGAGCATAAAAATTTCTTAGTTTCTGTGCTTGTTTCTGTGTTTGTTGTTTCTTCATGAGACCGGGACGGGATCGAGACCAAAAAGTTTGGTCCCGCAGGCCTCTAGTTCACAATATTCTTATACTGTACATGACATCGTGTTCATGATGCAAAATAGATTTTTTAAAAAGTAATCATACAGTAGAAAAGACTAGCAGAATTTGAACAACTACTAAACATGTCTTTTATTATCTCATTTCATTTATGTAATATTATTTTTCAAATTTTCTTTCATTTTCTGACTTAGGACATTGTTTCATAAACGCCTAACACAGTCAGATTTACTTAATAAAATCTTTTATTTGTGTAAATCAATGCATATTCAGTAAATGATAATAGATGTGCGAAGAGCAACAAAAGATACTTTGAAAAAACATATATTGTTATCAGTTATCCTCCTTTTTGTTCTGCATAATATTTTATAAATATAACTAATTACAAAATTTTGTTGTTGTATATAATACGAATAATTTTTGGTCAATAGTAAAAATTGATCAATCATCTGTGTCTATAGACACGATGACGTCTTTATTCAAATTGTATAGAACAATTTTCGGAAAGGAGAAAACATTAACTAAAGCAAATTACTTTTAAAAGTGATCAGTTTATGAAATAGTGATTGAAACCATTTGAGAGGATTCTTATTAACGTAGGAAAGTCTCATGCATACGGGCAGAAAAAATTAATCGAAAACATCGACGAGATCCTAAAAAATGAGAATATGGATTCTGAAAATCAGCTTACGTGAATGTAGGAACTGTATTTTCGATCCCTCGACTACTCGGTGACCGAGTTTGCAGAACAGATGCGCAGAGAGCTCGAGAGTTTTTCATCTTTCGTCCCTTTGGTACATCTGTTTTATGGAGCCGGTCATCGAGGTAGTCGAGGGATCGAAAATTAGGTTCCTAGTTGCACACAAGCTGATTTTGAGGATTTAAAGTCTCATTTTTCGAAGAACTTAGTGGCATCATTTAGATCCTTCGAAGGACTAGTTAAACGCTCTTGAAAAAATAAAAAGAAAGAAGAAAAACATTTCGTGGTGTCTGTCTACGGATCGGTATTTGAGAACGAATCTCTCAGTTTTCAAGCAGTTGTGTGAGTGATTTTACACAAAGTTTAAACAAGATAAAGATGTGCAAAATAGTTGTTTGTTCAGTTCTGTACTCTACTCTACTCTGTGGACATTCTTTGAGTCCTATCCTGCAGAGTAAAGTGAGAGCGTTCTACATATCTCTTAAATAAGAGTCACCAATCATTGGAAATGTGATATTCTCTGTTTTCTTTTTCTCTGTACTTGTCTGTTTTTTTCCTCCTACACATGTATTTATAATATACTGGTGTTTATAAGCAAAGTCATTTGCTTTTTTGATCAATTTTTGTCTTAGTCTTTGTCACTTTTCTTATTATAATATTTCAAAAAATTGACTAAATAAATTTCAAGTTCCCTAAAGTCATTTTTTTACGTATTGTTATCACTACCATCAGTCTTTGACCTTATAATGTATTAATGTCAATGTCATTGAGCTAAATATTTTTTTTGTTGATGACTATTTTTGAGAATTTTTTTTTTCTCTAAAAATTTTGTCATGTGTACCCAACGACTGTTTAAGAGGCGAAAAAACAAACATACATTGTATTTCTTTTTTTTCATTATTAAAATAAGACTATAGCGACAATGACATTGTTATTTTTTTTCTCTTATAAACTTTTTCAAGTGGACAGTTACTTACACTATTTGCTAGTGGTGACTACTTGTTCGAAAAAAATGTTCGATATTATTTTTTGTTCCTACTTGATGGATTGTGTACTTTTTGCATTGTTCAGACAATGAAAGAGTAAATTAGAGTACAAGGGAAACTTGCATTTTTTATTGTATGTAAAATTTCATTGAATCAGATATTATTCGGTTTATTTTCGCCTACATTTAAATATAAACAAACAAATTAATCGTTAACACTTTTAAACTGTTGCCTAGAGAAGAAAATCAATACATTTTTTTGTGTATGATCATAGACGTATTGAAGAGAAGTGAGAGAGACATGATTTACTACTATTATTCTAATTTTTTATTGATCAGTGTGCTTTTTTCTTCTCTTTTCTATTTCTATTTAAACAGATTAGAAAAAGTGCATACATTAGCTGCCTGAACAATAACAATAGTTGTTGTAGTTTTCTATTTGAATAAATAAAGTTCCTTAGTTTTTGTTTTGTTTTGTTTTGTTTTGTTATATTTTGGTTTACAAAGTCTATGTCCTATGTACAAGTATAGAAATAATGCAAACTTATGATACTTGAAAAATTGAGAATAAAATCTATTGTGTACTGAACAAATAATACAGTTTTTAAGCGGATAAAGTTATACTATATTTTAAATCTCCTTTATTTTTTCTAAATAAAGTAGTTTAATCATAGAGATAAATGAATCTTTGTACAAAAATTCTGTGACAAGTTTAATATTCTTTATACTAGACGATAGAATTGATGAATAGTAACGATTTTACAAATACACACTCTAAGTATTGTGATGATTGCTCTTCAGAATCTTCTATTATGTTGAATGAATAGAGAATACAATTACTGATATCAGTGAATGAAGCATATTTTAAAAACAAAACTAAATATCAGTATTTTTCAATCTCTTTCTATGTGTTCTTTTCATGATTCTATTTTGATACCTTTTTATTTTTTTATTTGATTAATTAAAACAGTACATTATTTGACAAGAAATTTAATATTGAGTTCTAAGACAGAGTGAGCTGCTCATTTCTTTTTTTTATTTGGTTAGACTATTCTTCATTTTAATATTATTTATCAAAAATACATATTGAAAAGAAAATATGATGATAATGATAGAAGTGTGGATGTATGTGTAGTATTTAATGATCACTGGAACATTCCCCCCCCGCATGTGTTGCCTCTTCTCTCTCTATTTAATATTTAACTTAACAATAAAAACGAAGAATAAAAAAAAAAAAAAAACAGACGAAGAAAGAAGCTCTTTTTCATAGATTTCGTGTGTTGTTATTTTTTTCGTCAATTCAATAATATGATGAAATTTAATTGAAAAAGAAAAGAAGAAGAAACAAGTTTTCTTCATTTCTGTAAAAAACAGAAGAAAATTATACTACTAAAATATATGTACTTATACTCGTCGGATCAAGTATAAAAAATTCTATTTTAAAAAGAAGAAGAATGCATTTTTATATTCAAATTAATTAAGAAACTAATCAAAATAAAAAAAAAACATGAATGATATTCGTTCGAATGAATTGAACAAAAAATTACTTTTAACTGGTCATAATAGACGGTAGGATTAAATATAAATAGATATTGTTTATTATAAACGAAAAAATTGAAACAGACCCAGTGGAGTTAAGAATGATGTCATTTTTGTAAGCGACAAAAAAAAAAATATATATATATATATATAAAAGTAGATATTTTTATCAGCTTTACTATTGAATGACATCATTCGATGAAAACTCCGTCTAAAACATGTTTATTTCTTTATCATTTTAGATGGAGAATGAATTTGAATGAAAAATTTTCGGTTAATCATTTATCAAATTTTTCATTAAGAAATGATTTTCAAGAAGATATTAATTCATCTGTTGATAGTGAAAATATTAACACAAATGAATCAGTTTTATCTAAGCCAAAGGAAATATTTTCTAATATAACATCACATCATCATATACGTGCACATTCATACGATACAATATCGGCACAACGTTTAGAATCAAGAGAGTCAACAAATAATTTATTAACAGCACAATTATTTCGATCAAAACAACAACAACAAACAAATGAAAATAATAGTCAACAATCAAAGATTTTACATCAATCTCATCATCGTCATACAGCATCTTATGCATCAGATATTACATCATTTTATTCTAATTCAAATCTAAATAATTATCATCATTCAACATCACAAGATAATCTTAAACATTCAGGCACATCATCACCCCAACGTATGTATTCAAACATTTCTGTTTTTTTTTGTAATATTCATACATACAGTGACTTTCAAAATTGTTTGTTCACCTTAGTTTTTGATATTTTTCCTCGATCATAATATCTAGAACAAAGTTGAGAAATGATTTTGATACCTGAGAGAGTTTTCATTGTGATGTGGTATGTATAAAGATTCTATGTGGAAAATTTTCATTCAGCATTTCATTAATTGAATACAATTTGATGAAAAAATGGAGTTCAGAAAGCTCAGAAATATTTAGTCATATAATAAAGTTGTTTACAAAGAGTTTCTCAATCTAATTCACAGATCAAGATTATCAATAATTTTTATAGGATCTTTATACGCATCACATCATACTGGAAACTCTTTCAGCTAATTTCAGCAGCTATTTCGAGAAGAAATATCGAAAATTAAAATAGATGAAAAAAAATTTGAAAGCTACTGTATATTTGACATATTAGGAGTAAAAAAAAAAAACTTGAATATAAATGATAATCTTATAATTAATATTATTTCATTTAGATATTCTTTTTACTGCTAAAAAATCAAAAACATCATGTTCAACATCGTCTGGCTCAACATCTGCTCCATCTATTTCCACATCATCGTCGATGATCACTGAATCATCAAATATTTTAAATCGTTTTAATATTCATAATGCAAAATTAATTGCTTTATTACTATTTTTTTGTTTATTATTTTATCATGGATTTTTACGTTATATCAATGGAGTAACATCATGTCATCGATTATTATATGAAGGACGTATTGAACGTTATCATGTTTGGCAACCAACTGGTTGTATGATGCATTGGTATGATTCACTTGATTTTAATCAATGTAAACGTTTGATATCGTCATCTTCACTAGCAATTGATTCAACAATAATATCAACAAAAAAATCGTTTAATAATCGTTTAGGTAAGTAAATGAAAGATGTATATTCATATAAGATAGTTAAAAATCTACTCTGTTCGTTTTTGTTTTTTTTATACTTTAGATCCTGTTGAATGGTTACGTACACGAAAACAAGAACAAGAAAAAAAATATTTACAATCACATTCGTCTTTGCCTATATCATCATTATCAAATGAATTTCGTTATACATTTGTGGGTGATGAACGTTTGTATATGATCTATCGTACATTTTTAAATACAATTAAATATCGTCCAAATATTAAACCAACATTATCCAATTCAAATTCGCCTTCATCATCCTCATCATCATTCTCTTCCTCCTCCTCCTCCTCCTCCTCATCATCATCATTTCATCGACGAAAAATTATTCCATCGGTGGATGATTATTATAAATATTCATTTAATATGGATAAAAATATGTTTTCAATGAAACATGATCGAAATTTAACATATACAAATGAAAATTTTAATATTCAATATTATTCAATAAATGAATTTAATGAAAGTTTTTACAATTTATTATCATCATGGAATACATCAATAAAAACAAACAGACCACATATACTTGTCATTGGTTTAGGATTATATATGGGACTAAAAATGAATGGTAGTAGACAAGCAGTTGATAGTTATGAAAAAAATTTAACACAAATAAAAGTATTATTAAATAATCTCAGTTCAGCAATGACAATTATATGGTTTGGTAAGTATTCTGATAAATTTTAAAATTAAAAATTAATTTTTTTTTTCTTTTTCTACTATTAAACCTCATCAATAACATGTTTTTAAATATTTTTATCTCTCTTCTAGGACAACCACATTTGAATATTAATGAAGATTTATTTGTTGTTAATGATGATAAACAAAATCCTTATCTATTCGATTTTATTCTAAAGATAAATTCTTATTTGGATAATATTAATTATATAACAAAAGTTATATTTCATAAAACAAATATATTCTATTGGCATTCATCTAGTCTATTACAACAGACAACATTTTCACCTACTTCTTATCCTCAAAATTTTCTTTATGATGATGATACAGATGAAAATCAACAGGAAAATGATAAAACAACATTAACACAAACAGAAACAACAATGACAAATATTGAACAAAATAATGGTGAAAAATTTGCTTCAAATAATGAAATTATGTTTTATTCTTATTTAAAATTGAAAATAAATCGTACATCATTAACAACTATTATGATTAATTCTGGTCAAATTTATGAATTTTATAAATTATCATCATTTTCTCGTCATACATGTGTACAAATATTATTAAATTTATTATGTAATCAACGATTATTACCTGATGATGGAACATGTTGTGCTCAAGTACCACCATTAACACGTTTACAATTTTTAATCAGTTTACTATTAGGTTTTTTAATAACATTTTTTATCTTCTATATTGTCCATAGAATACGTACAACATTTTTATTAAGACGAAAAAAACATTTACTATCATTAACAATAATAGCACCAACAAAAGCTATTATTGATAATCAACAACAATCTCCATATAAAATGGGTAATGGACATATGACTAATGGTGGATCATGTTTATCGAATGATCGTTTGGATAATCATCAAACATCATCATCAATGAATGAAAATTCATTTAGGTTAGTTTTTTAATAAAAATAATAAATAATAGATAAGGAAATGATACTAGTAAAGTTCGAATTTTTAAAATATAGTGTCATCTAGCGAAAAAAGGGAATAAAGTATTTGGAGAAAAAACAACAACAACTTTCTAGTGTTGAATGCTGCTACAGCATAGCATATAATCACATACATTGATTGTTTTCTTTGACTTTTAGCTCACCACGTTCTCAAAATCATTGTATAACATCATCATCACATAGTGCACTTAGTCGACCATCAAGATTTAGTCGTTATCGTTTTTTAATTCCAAAATTTTTAAGAAATTTACGAAAAAAATCAACACAACATTTATTACCACCTTTATTATTGACAAGTTCAATTGCTACGCAACCATCAACATCTAATTCATCTTCATCATCGGGATCTCTCTATCCATCACGTTTTTATAAGAAAAAAAATTCACTATTTCATTTTCCTTTAACTGAACCGTATATTTTACGTACAATAGTCAAATATTCATTTATATTACTTTATTTTTATTTATCCGATCGTACAGATTTTTGGATGAAAGAAAATCTTCATTTTACACGTGTAGCATTTTTTCTACCATTAACATATATTGGTGTATTAGGTATTTTCTTTCATGATAAATTACAACAATTATCTCCATTATCATCACCATTTTCATCGTTAAGTGTATCACCTACACTAACACCGACAACAAATGATCCATCTTCACCATTTTCGTCTGTTGAATCATCAACAAATCATGACAATCATGAAACAATAAATGATATTGAAATAAGAAATGATGAAAATATGACAACAACAACAAAATTTATGATATCACAACAATCATCTTCATCAAATACAGATGATTTATTTAATTGTATTTTAAATAGTGAACAAATTGATGAATGGAAAGGTTGGATGCAAATTGTTATATTAGCATATCAAATGACAGATGCATCGGGAAAATCAATTGTTTTAGCAATGTTTGTACAATTATTAATTAGTTCCTATCTATTTTTAGCTGGCTATAGTCATTTTGTTTATTATTGGAAAACGGGAAATTATAATTTTCTAAATTTTTTACAAATGTTATTTAAATATAATTTTTTAACTATTACATTATGTTTAATAATGAATAGAAATTATCAGTCATACTATTACCCACCATTAATATCATTTTATTTTATCATGGTTTATTTTACAATGGCTATTCTACCACCAAGAATACATATGTCAACAATTAAAGATAAATCCATATATCTTGTCTATTTATTTTTAAAATTGATTGTATTAGGTATGTAGCAGTTATCTCTGAAGAGTTTGTTTTTTTTTCATTATTTGAGAGATATTTATCAGAATCGATTCGATTTGATTTGAATGACTTTTTTTTTTCGAAGAAGAATTTGTAAAAATGAACGATTTTTGAGAAAAAAATATATTATTTCTTGATTAGTAGAGTCATTCACTCATAGTTTTCACCGAGTAAGGTGAGGAAGTAGATTTCTATGCATCTGTAATATCGTCACCTCTTTCTACTTTAACAAAGATTTTCAGTTTCGATTCTGTTCGATACACAATTCCATCTCTGATACTTAAAAGTCTAGAAAGACAACATAGTCGATGATGTTCTTATTCTATTATATTTATCTTTTGTTTTAGGCACATTATTGACCACATTATCATTATCTGAATTTTTATTTGAAAAACTATTTACTTTTAAATTGTGGAATAATCTGTTCACAACATCAACTATTACATCATCATTAGCTGCATACGCACAACAATTACATAAATCCGATTTAACACATGGTGGTTTAAATCAGTTAAAAACATTACTAACACATGATGTTAATAAAAAGTTAAGTGATGGTGAAAAATCATTATTAGATTATTTAGCAAATTCAGGATGTGGTATTGTTGGTCCTGTCACATTATCTGGTATTACATTAGATGATATAACACATAATCATCATTTTCATAATGGTACCACTAATAATATTTATTATGATAGAAATGGAACAATTAATGATTGGTATCATCGATGGAATCTCGATCGTTATACAATATTGTATGGTATGTGTTTTGCTTATCTATTAATTATAATTCAAAATTATGATACATATAAAACAGTGGGTGGTCTAATTACAATGAAAAAGAAACAATATCAACAACAATATCGTTCAATTCGATTTATATCATTATTCTGTATACTAGGTTTAATGGGCTCAATTGTTTATACTATTATTCTATTTTTATGTTCAAACAAAGCAATTTGTGATGAAATACATCCATATATAATTATCTTACCGGTATGATTTTATTTTTTGATAACATAAAAAACATAAATTTCATATGAAAGATATTTTTTATTTATTTTTATTTTTAGATTACTTGTTATATTGTATTACGAAATGTACCCATGTTTTTACGAAAACATTATTCACCATTTTTCTCATGGTTTGGTCGTATATCATTAGAACTGTTTGTTACTCAATATCATATATGGTTAGTGGCTAATGGTCATGGTACATTGACAATTATACCACGTATGCCAACACTCAATTTAATTGTAACAACATTTATATTTATTTGTATAGCCCATGAACTCCATATTATAACAAATGTACTAACACCCGTTTTCATACCCAATGATTATAAATGTTTTGCGCGTAATTGTTTTGTGTACGTTATTATTATCATATTTTCATCTTATATGTTCTCATCAATTTGAGATGAAATTATGATTGCATCTGACCTTTTTTTTTTTTTTTTATACTTTTTTTTCTTTTTGTTCTTGTCGGATATTCTGTTCTTGTCTTTTTCCCGGTGTGACAAACTGTGCATAGTATTTCGAGAAAAAAAAAATCCAATGATTTTGTTCACGCTGGCTCGTGAAATAGTTTTGATGAGCGGGTGTTCGTTTTCGTTATATATTGCACAGATACACTAGGGTCAGTCAACATTGAGAAAAATTTTACATTTTTTTTTTCCGTCACATATTCTGTTATTTTCTTGTTTCTCGAGAATTGCAAGTTTTCTCATCACAATACCAGTTCTTTTTACGGTTTTGCTCACAATTATTCTATTTCTTTGTTTTTTGTTTGTCGAATGATTTCTTTCTTTTTATTTTATTGTACAGAGAGACGCTTTTTTGTGCATACAATTTTGTGCTGCTTGTGATCTTTTATAACTTCTTGTTTGTTTTTTTTTGTTTTTTTTTTATTGATATGAGAATGAATTCCACCTCTTCAAATTGACGATAAATATCATTTTTTTTAGAAAAATAAACAAAACTTTTTTTCTAAATTATCCAACAGCAACCAATTGTTCATAAGAAATTCAAAAACAACTATTTTTAATATTCTACTTGTTATTATTATTATCTCTTTAGAAAGTCGTACCATCAACAGCTGAACAATGTGCCAGTTCATTACATTTTCAATTCGAAGAATATGTCAATGCATCCGAAGATCGATTGAAGATGGCTGAACAATGTTGGTCGAGTCTTTGCTATTCTTCTATATCTAAAATGATGATATTTCTTTTTTTTAAAGCTTATTTATCGTTTATACGATATTATGCCTCATTTTCAAGAGAATGGAAATATTTATTTCATGTAAAAAATTTACATCGTGGACATGTAGCAAAAAGTTTTGGTTTAAGAGAACAACCAGATGAAATGAATAATAATGAGCGTAAAGAACGACAAGATACATTTTCATCTGCTAAGCCATTAATACCGAGAACTGAGTAAGTTTCGATTTTTGATTTATCATTACAATTCTTGATTAATAAAGAAATAGCAACACTATTGTAATGGGAGTTTGTTCATTCAACTTTTGCCTAAATATCAGTTTGCACACAAGAACCTAATTAGAGCAGGCTGATCCTTGAAACAGTCACCGAGAATGGTTAATCTTCATCAATTTTTCTATTTAGAAAACAACAAGACCAATTTGACAATGACTTAAGTGAAAATTTAGTAAATTTGGCAAAATCATCAGTTATTGATGATAGTTCAACAGTAGCTAGTAATTCATCGTTCGTTAATAAAAATACTTCAGCAGCAACAGCTACGCCATCAATCAACTATAAGCGGCCTCGTTATAAAAATTTTAGTCGTGTATCTGAATTTAGTGATGGTTTTGATACAATGATAACAAAAAAACAACCACCAATGAAAAAACGAAAAGATAAATTGGATGAATTTTTGGAAAAGAAACGTCAACGAAGTATGAATAAACGTACAATGGGACGTAAAGCTGCAATAAAAAGTTGAAATGTAATATTTTATTCAACATGTTATATCAATATTGTTTTTGAATAAAATTGGATTAGAAAAATGTTATGTTCTGAAATGTTTCCATACGCTATTTAAAGAGAAAGTTCTAAGAAAACATAAATTATGCTCTTCATATTGGTATGGCTAATCATGTCTGATACTTCTCTTTCTCTGACGCTCTTTCAGTCTTAGCTTAGTCGGTTTAGATATGAAATATTCACCAACTGTTTATTGAATTTCTTCATTAAGCCTCCATCTCCATACATTTTTTTATTTAATGTTAATTTTACTCAGAAAATAATCTTCAATCACGAGTTTTATACACTGATCTACGAAAAATTCGAAACTCGAACAATTAAGAGCCACATTTAGTTCATATTTTAGTTGATAATTATCAATACTCTATGTATTATTTAGGATATTTTGTAGATGTTTGAATAACGATGCCAAATGATACAACAAATTCGTTGAACAATACCATTGGAAATGAACAACAACAGAAGAAGAAACGACATCATAAAAAACGACGTCATCGTAGTCGAAAATCAAGAGTAAAACTTGCAAATTCATCACTGAATAGTGATGGAGTGCAGATAACTGACGGAAAAAGCGGAGGTATGGTATAATGCATTATTTATAAAAATAACGAACTATTGAAGAATATTGTGCTCTTGAACAATTTGTTTTTAAGATGAATAATAAGATTAATTCCACCTTTTTATCTTTTTTTTCAAGTAGACAACTTTATTGAGACGTTTCGTTTTTCACTCAGAACATCGTCAGTCAAAATGATACATGTGTAACAGTAGAAGAGTATATATATCCTCGTGGAAAAAAATAGTTGCACACAATATTTTTAAGATATTTTCCTTACGAAGACACACTTTTACAAAAGTGACCCTATATTCTGATAGCGCTTGAAATTCTCTACAATTCTGTATATTTATATCTTATCTTGTATTTATTTGCTGAAAAACAAATTGCGTGCAATGATGGCTCCCACATTGTCAGATTCCCACGGACTGCATTTTGTTACTATTTCTTCAACTTGCTTTTTAAATTTATCATCACTATAGAAATTGCTTTTTATAAAAGTAATTATATATTCGGATAGCGC